TGTTTGTGTTTGTTTTACAGGACTCACTCGAATCACTTTGGTTCTACAGCAAGTGAATAGAATATTCAATAGTAAATGTTTATTATTCAGCAAAATTTCCCCTTTGTTTAAGAAAGTAAAAGAGGACACAAATCCAAACAAAACTATTTTATTCCATGGAATTCGTGACGCTTTGGGGAATAATTTACCTACCGTGATATGCGAAAACTGAACCGCAGACAGGTAGAAAATTCTTCTTTTTAAACCGCATCCTTGATATCAATTCAACGATAAAACAATTTTCTTGAAACTTCCGGAAATGCCCTATAAGAGCGATCTTTATTAAACAATAACTACCCACGTAAAAGTTCTAATAACAGAAGTGATTTATCATTGACCGATATCAATACTTTCAAAAATGTTTAACAAAAACTACCAACATAAAGGTTATAATAACAGAAGTGTTTAATCATGTAACCTTTCAGTTTTATATAAAATCTTGATTCTAGGTAGTGATGTAATATAAGAGATTAAAATGAAACAACATTTAAACCTATAATACCAATATCAATACTTTCAAAGATGTTTAACAATAACTACCTACGTAATGGTTAAAAAAAAGTGTTTTATCGTTAACCGATATCAATACTTTCAAATATTTTTAACAATAACTACCTACTTTAAGTCTATAATAACGGAAGAGTGTTATCATTAACCTTTCATTTTTAGATAAAACTCTTGATTTTAGGTAGTGATGTAATATTTATAAGAGATTCAAACGAAACCACATTTAAACCTACAATACCGATATCAATACTTTCGATACTTTCAAAAATAAAACTAAGGAAATATCACTTGTATTATGCATCACCTTTTGAAATGTGCGCAGATTACAATGACAAAAATACGTAATCGAAGCACAAATTTTTTTTTGTACAGGCAATACAAAAAGGGTATTAAAATTGTCCTTGAGCTGATTTTATCCTTTAAGATCGTGTAAAACTACAAATATATTTTATTTATTTTTATGTTTAATTTATTCATTTACCACTTATGGGTTGAATTGCTATCGTCAGATAACAGCTGTTTATCAAAAGGATCCAAGCCAAACAATAAAAAGAAACATATGAACAAACAAATAAACTCAGAACAGGCAATCATAGAATTTATCATTTGCAAAGTAACAAAGTAGCAGTAATACTACAGTAAAACAAAACAAAAACAAACACAAATAATAAAAATATAATCATTAAATCATTATGTGTGGAAATTATTTCTTTGATTATTTGTATATAATATATGGATATACCGTATATGATGGAATTTGTTTTGAAAATAAAGAACCCTGTGGAAGGGGGAAAAATATAACAATACACTCATTAAAGTAAATAGACAATACCGGTATTGGCTCCATAATGTTGGTAGAAAATATATAATGCTGAGAAACGGAAGATAAGATTATCTAACTAGTTGTCGCGACACACTTGCATACTATTAAATCAAATTGATTTAAGATGACTTGGAGAGGTGTGCTTTCAGGAGATTTTCAGGGTAGGAGCACACCAAATTTCCTGTGGCAGATTGTACCATAAAAAGGAGCCATCACGCTGAAGCTGCGGTGTCCATCTTATTTACTGCGTGTTGCAACTGAATAAGATTGTGCTGGTGTGACCCGAGTGTGCCAGTCGGGATGTCAGGGCGGGATGTAAGGCCGGAATAGATCACGTCAAGAGGACAATTTTAAATTGTATGCGTTCAGGGATATTGACATTTGATCAGATCCTAGCTATATTCAAATTAAAACAAGTATCAGGTATATTAAAACCTTACCTTGAACTTGCCATTTTATTTTCTTGTCTTAAATTTTAGTTTTAAGTGTTTTAAATTACAAACCGATTCCATCCGTAGAATTTTGGCAAGTCTGTTTATTGAAATTAACCAATCGTCTATTCAGAGCCAGAAGGGGGTTAACTCTGTGTTAGAGCAAATGAGTTGAAGCCCTTTTAGCTGTGAGAAGAAATTTGAATGTAAACATTTTTGGGACTTGTTAGAAGTACTGGATTATTTTGTATTGAAATTTCGTTTGTGTGTAGGCCTAGATATTCACCAAAGTAAATCGTAAGCTTTGGGGGTAATGCCCGGTTGTTTGTAGTCTCATACTATTCGGAATATTCATAATAGAGAGTCGTAAATTTGAGATACTATATAAAAACCTTTTTTATTGATCAGCATACTAACCAATCTTCGAGTCTTCCAAATATCCAAATTAGGAAATGATAAAATTTGGATCATGACGCTAAGAGTAAGTGATTTCTTTTTTTGGCGTTTCATCGTTTTTATTCCTTTGAATAACTAATCATTATCCTGAATAAGCAAACACATTTCAACCATTTACCTCATTGGTGTAAGCAGGTGGGAATGCTGACTCCCTTTCTGAGTATTACAGCCGAGTGTCACTTTATTAGGAGGTGTGTTGTTAAATGTTTTGATCGGTCGTCAAAGCTAATATTATCTCGCAGGAACGTTTGGGGCGTTCCTGCGAGACGTCACTGCAGTCACACATTCAGATAATACGAGACACCAAACTCATGATATTACTTCCTTTTAGCAAAGGGACAGAAAAGTTATTTCTATGGGAACCAGGATACAGGGTGTGTATATATTTACTTTACTTAAACCGACACACGGGCTTGCGCAATTTCAAGCTGACCAAAATTGTTTTGGGTAAATTTCGTGAACATTATTTTAACATTCATTTGAGAGATTTCAAGCCGTCTACTGAATTAAATTAAGTGTCAAGTTATCAAACTTCAAATTCAAACCACAAAACTCAGCATCAACCCACAAGTATATATTTCTATGGAGATCCAGACAAAAAGAAATGTGAATTTGGTTTAAGATAATTATTGTATTATGTATTGTTCTTGTATTATGTATATATGTACAAAGACTGTAAACCAGTGAAAAAAGAATTTCCCGAAAGGGGCAATAAATTTTCAATTCAATTCAATTATAATACATTATTTGTAAATTAAAGATTTTGTTTTACATGAAGAAATAAAATAAAAAATGGAATCATTACATAAGAAATACAAGACAGATAGACAAAAAAATGGGATATAAAGAAGGGGGAGTGAGATAGAGAGAGATAGAGAGAGAGAGGGGTGAGAGAGAGAAAGAGAGAGAGAGAGAGAGGGAGAAAGCGCGCGCGGCGAACATAAAATACTTCTCTTTTTTAAAGAAAATGCAACAACAAAAAATGGCAATAAATCGTGTTTCTGCACTATTGATTGAGAATATTTAAAAGTCTAGAGTACATGCAAGGTTTCCTTGCTTTCTTAAATCATTTTTATCAAGTGTGTGAACCGAAATTAAAAAATCTACAGAGCCGAAACGTTCCCTTTTGTTATTTAGTACTCACGCGAAGTTGCAGCAATTTTACTGTACGGAACAAAAAGAGCAACAGCGCCCACACGCCATCAAAATAAAGCATTGTCATGAATGTATCCAGTAACCAGGAAGGTAGGCGCTAAGAAAATGCTCAAAAAATAGAGGGAAAACAATACGGAAGGACATCAGTATCTGGATTAACATTGATTTCTGAATTGATCAGTTCATTTATGTATTACTTACTTGATTTTATTTGACTGAACTTTATATATTATTTTTTCCATTCTTTAACCAAAGTAGCCTGTTCAGTTAAAAATAAGAAAAGTAAAAATATTCATCACACCCCAGTCTATGTACAGTAGAACAATTTGAAATAAACAATACATCAATAAAGGTACTGTTCTTCCAAACATAAATAATAATTGCGGATAAACAGACCGGTAAAAGTGTGAATGAAATCGGAATAATTATAAAGTTATGTTTTTAGTTGTTGTTGTCACCACTATACATATGGGCATTTATCGGTGATGACACTGTGACGTATAGCGAAGATAACTTTCTCATTTGATAATTATAATTGCAATTTGTAACTTCGATGTATATCTTTACTTCATGCCATTTACTTTATGTTAAATCATATGGATCGGACATGAAGACCTTCGGTTATAATAGTTAGTTAATATTTTTTGGTCTTTTCCCCGGCATCCGGGTGAACCTCTTTAAATTATTGAGCAGCATTTCTCTCTTCATTTTTTGTTTTTGACTTGGTCAAATGAATAAAAACAATGGTAATAATACCGATACTACAACTTCTTCTGCAACTACTACTACTTCTAATGATAAAAATGATAATAATAATAATAATAATGATAATAATAATAATGATGATAATAATAATAATAATGATAATAATAATAATAATGATAACTATAATAATCATTATAATAATAAGCTATTATTATAGCTATTATTATCATTATTGTTATCATTAGTAGTATTATTAGTCGTACTAGTATTATTATCATTATGTAAATATTATATTTCAATGTAGGCCTATTTGAAATTACTGAGTATTTTAGGAACTTTGGAAGAGTCTTTGGAAGATATCGAAGGATCCGTGTATTTAACGTATACGAGTATCAATGTTTGAGTTCCTCTCAAGTTCCCAAAATATTAATCTTTTGATCACGAAAAACCGGAAGTAAATACAAGACAGGATAAAAAAAAAATACATGTATTTGCACTCTAAGAATGCAGAACGATCGGATACGAAGGGGAACGGAGCGTAAATCTTCAGGCCGCGGGAGGGCGTACAACAGAGGGAGGGTTGGAATATTACGTAGATAATGAAAATGAAAGTCATTAACAAATTGTTTAGAAAGAAAAAGCCATCCGGATTCTAGAGCCGGTAGACTAAACGTCTACTCGATTAAAAGGTTGCGGAAATAGTTGTCCATCAATAAAACAAATAATACAGTCACAGTAAGGGTATTCCCCTGCTACAGCATGCAAACGGTGTGCTGACGTCACGATGTAACTTTTGACCCGTGCAAGTTCGCAGAAGTTAGGCGGGATAAGGGAGCTACAAGCAGTCAATACGCACTGATTTAGATACCATGCTTCGTACGTACGTAGCGCATGGACCTAAAAAAGGACGCATTGCCTCATCGTTTTTCTCCAAGCTACCATTTTCGTTTCTCGTTTGAATAGGAAGGGGTTTTTCTTATTTTTCTTCAACCGTGTTCCGAGAAAGAAAAATGTCAACGGTTAGGGCCACAGCTTATAAGTACCTGGTGGTGTCTTTGCCAAAGCACAACATTGTGAGACGAGACACAGGACAGTTACAATTACCGCCGTTGATTTTGACTCCTGTAATTTCCAGCGTTTGTTATAAAATACCACCGTCACGGCTTGACCCTAACCCGCGTTTAAAATTAACACTGCATCTTTAGCGCTTGGTTTTATCGTCTTCAAATCATTGTGAATATTCACCCAAGCTAATCAACCATGGCCATCCTATTTCAAGGTGAGTGATCAAAATTAATACTTTTTCAATTCAAATTATATCCTGTACATGTCGGTGATGATTTATTTCTTGATCTGCTCTATCGACCCGAATATGCATTGTTTCCTTCACCAAATTAAAGCACTGCGATTTAAGATCTGTGATTAGTAAGATTGTTGATTATTTGATACAATATATGTCACGATTCATAAAAATAGTGACCACGGTAAATGTATTTACTACAAAAAAAACCTCGTTGCTTCTCTTTCCTCGTCTCTCTCCCTCGTTTTCTCTATTGGTTCCTTATATCTTGGCATTTTTTCCGACTGGCTTTGCATCAATTTCCATAGGCTTCCAGGGGAGCTCTGTATCTTAAGTTTAAGTCAAATTGAGCCTGGTTTGAATCAGTAACGTCTGTATTTCATTTAGACTCCACATCTGAGAAAAATTCGCATACAACTGACCCTTTCCCTCTCAGATGCACCCCCCCCCCCCCCCCCCCTACCGAGATAAATTCTTTGTATAAGACTTTCGTCAAAGACTGGTATAAGATAATCTTGTTCTCTTTCAAAAAGCCAGAATGAATTCATTGCTCAATATAAGGTGTCTGTGTGCATGTAAGCGTGCGTTTTAGTCTGTAAGAGCAGTTTGACATCACATACTTTCAATACACAAGGTATATATATATATTCAAAACTTGTATATCACACGATTTGGGGTTCCATTTGTCGGAAAGATGAAATTGCGTCGCTTTAAACTCTGAAATTCTGCAATTCTATCCCTGAGGTAATGAACAGATGTGTGCTTGAACAAGCTCTACCACAGTTTGCGGATCGAATTTTTGAATAAATCATAAGACGTTGCCATAATTTTCCTCATCCTGTCAATTCCATCTGCTATCCGTGCAATTTAAAGGTTTTTAAGGTCACAGGCAGCTTTAAAGAGGATTAAGGAGACCCCCTCCCCTCCCCTTGTTCTGGTACAAAGACAGATCATAGGTGGCTATATAAGGAACTCTTCGTTTAAAAATCTATTGTTCTGTCCTGGGTAAAATAAACTATAAAAGAATTCGAGGCACCTGACAGCAAGAAACTGTGAAGAATCAGTTCGCTTGAGAAAGTCTGCAGGTGTGAATACAAACCTGAATTATATGTTATGAATACCTCCAAATAATGGAAGTTTTCTGTATAATTTAGGTTTTTCTCCTTTTACACGTTTGAGATAATGGGACTCAATGGTAAATCAATTAGAATAAATGACTAGCAGATTGTTTCCAACCTAATGGACAAAACTCTATTCTCTATTCATATATTGGTTGCGTAGAATCTCAGTTTCGATATAAACAATCCCATTATAAAACATTCAGAATGAATCTATATTAAACAATTCTAAGAATAAACCACTACTGAATCAGGAAAGGAAATTTGATCCCTCAGATCGAATGATTGTTTTCGATATTTCAGAATATCCAAAGATAATTGCAGTTGTTATGTACACAATTTGTACGTTAACAACCGTCATCGCAGAAAATCCAAAGGCGTTGAAATTCAACAATAAGTAGCACCACGTGTACTTCACCGTTTCCTATGAAATTTGAACGGTTCTGTCTAGGCAACGTTTATGGGTAAAAGGGCTCCATGGTTGCGACACGTTTTCCCCATATTTCACTCGTCGTCGGGAGAACTGTTTCTCAACGGGGAGCTGAGACGGTAAGAGTCAGTAGGTCAAAGCACTGTTGCCCCGATAATTTATACTCCTTCTCGTTTTCCGTCTGTCCTCCGTAAATCATTCGTGGTATAACTCCTTTTTTCTGTTCCCAGTTTCACTCAAAACAGGAATAATTTGGCCGTTTTTAAAAGTACCTACTAGTCTACATCCCCTGCCGTGATAGCAGTTTTGTCCGTTTCGCAGTATCGGAGGGTCAGACCAAAGAAATACCAGCACAGACCGCCTATCATATACATAGGGATACCATTTGGTAGTTTTACTAAAGGGATTAGTATCCCTGGGTTTGTTCTTCTACGGCCTGAAAATTAACCCACAAATATTGGATCCCCATAACATTCTGTGCAATATAAGCAAACCTTGAAAGATGAGGGCAGGGCCTGATTCAACCATTTTCTATTAATTTCCCTTCAAAAATCATTTCAGTGTCTTGAATGCATGATAAATTCATTATGTTATTCAGAATCTCCTGAATAACTTATGCCGCACAGTGTGCAACATAAAAATGATCTAACTAAAAAAATACCATCGATATTCGATTCATGAAACTATTGTGGTTGTGGGAGGGGGTGCAAGATGGATATAATTTGGAACGCCGATTACCCTGTTCTTTCGGCATCTCTAGGGCAGGAAGCTAATACACGAGGCCCTTCGTCTACTGCTTTTAGTCATTTCCACTCTAGCTATTGCGTAAGACCGTAGAAAGCAAACTGGCTCGTTTAACATGTCTAGTACCAGCAAAAGGCGATTGATAATTGGCACATGTTCATTAAAAAGAGGAAGAGAAAGAGTGGGGAAAAAGCCTCAAATCCTTTTTAACAATAACCAATAACGTCTTTTATGGCTCATGTTTGATTTCGGGGGTTAGTGCCCCCTAAAGATGTAATTTCACGTGATATCGTCGGAGTGGGCTAGATAAATCATTTATACCGGCTGCATGTTCCAAAGTTTTATTGTAGTTTGGTTCTTACCTGTGGATAGTTTTTTGAGTGCTTTATTGACCCCCTAATCTTCGAGGTTCAGAGGGTCCCAAAGATCTAGGATTTTAGAGATGGATAGGGATGAGGGTTGACGCACATTTTTGAATTACATTTATTAGAATTAAAATTGTCCTAGTGAGCAATTCTCAGAATTCGCGCGTTATTTGCCTACACAAAGTGGGGAAATCAGGCATTGTATGAATAATTGTGTATGAAGCAAGAAGAAACTTACTTTATTATCTTAATAGATTTGATTGTTTCCCATTGAAGAACAAACTTTCTCATTCAATTCTTGTGAACCCAGACGTATGTGTCCACAAAAGAGCTATGTATTTTTCTCCTATAACTGATAAAGTAAAACAATATTTTGAAAAACAATATATTGCAGCATTCAAATAGAAGAGGTTGTATTTTCTACTATTTGTGTGATTCTAAGAATTTGTACTCTAAAAAAAAGAATAAAGCAAACAACAAAAACAAAATAATTCCCAAACGGCGGGGATTTTTCGGAAGGTAATCTGTTCCCCGTAATTTACGCATGTCCCTGATCTAATAAAAGCAATGGCTGTGGATATAACTACCGCGTATTTAGAGCGTGGGTATTTTAACTGTTAGTCAGTTCGTGTTTAACATCCACGTCGTTTGCGCCTACTCTATAATCTCTTTGGGATTATATTAAACTGCCATGGCACTTAATTCTACTTTTTCGAATCGCTCTTCCCTTGCAGTCCTTCGACAGTTTGTCGTGTTAGCCGTCTACTGCTTTGTCGCATCACTGGCTAACCCCATAACGATGCCTCCGACCACGGCTGTACCTACGATGGCTGCGACGACACAAGTTGCCTACGACTCCTACTTATTAATCGTTCAGGAGGTGGAGATGTTTCAGGGACAATTTACTCCAATGCTGAACTCATTTGTAAGTACTTCAAAATGCACATTATTTTGTATTTATTTATTTATTTGTATTTTTTTTTTTTGGAGGGGGGGGGGGGGGGGTCGAACCGAGTTTACTACTTCCATGTATGGTGGAAGTGACATCAACCAACTCCTTTGACATAGGGCCCACGGTCTTTGTATTTTAAACAAGGGCATTCAATTTTTTACTCTTTTGAAAAAGCAACAGTGTCATAAATATATACGGCCATGTTGAGCTACGGCCCTTATTCTAGATATATTTTTGCTTGACAAATCATTCATAATTATCCTACTGACTACTAATTCGCAAAATATTGATTATTTCATCAACGGAACAAAAGATGTTAAAATTGAAGTCCAATTTACATTAGTTTCATATCAATCGATAATCAACCTTGTAATTTAAAGGTGGTACATTTTATTAAGATATTTTATATTGGTGAACTTATACGATAGTTGATATGCATAACATTTAGATTTTTATCTCTCAGCCATCATATTATTTCATAAATATAAACATGTATACATGTATATACCTTATACACATTCTTCACTTATTCATATTCACAACACTTTTAGATCAGTCCTATGGAGAAAAAAAGCAATATCCCCAAGTCAACGTTCTATCTGTTACATATTTTGTATAAATGGTACCCCTTCCACCACATCTCTTCATTATCAACACATTACATTTTTTGTTGAAATTCTGTAATCAATTTTAACCATGCTAACCACAAATGAGCATTTCGTGTCTGTCCTGTCATTTCCTCCATTCGTCCTTCATACTGCTGTCACCCACACTTGTGCACTTTTCCTTGTTCGCACCGAAATGCTTTTATTTTTTGTACTCGACTAAAATGGGCAGACCCTACTGGGTGTATACTGGATGAGGAAGATGTGGGCTGGAGAATACGACATTTTCTTTAAAATAATGATCGTATTGATACGTTCTTCAATCTGAGGCTCTTTAATTCGAAACGACAAGTCACGATAAAATACATCTTTCCTGCACATAGCACTGCCCAGGGTTGGCTAACCCTATGTGTTTGCCATTTCACTAATGGGCGATTTCAGGCAATATGTCCCTTACAACATACGTGTTATAATCCATTTATTACATCCCAAATTGGAAAAGATCTTTGACTTAACCATCGACAAAATGGTCATTTAGTCAATGTGATTAGATTTTGTTTTAAATGGACTATCAGTCAGTGGACACTCCAACAAAAAAGTTGAGATGAAATGAATGGATTGAAGCCGTATGGGACATTTCTCACTGAATCGCCAAAACACATCGTTACGTATTCTACTGAATTTAAACCCAACGCTTGGTTTGACCAGCAGGGTTTGCGTTTGGTTTAACTAAATCTGTAGAAGACGGGCCATTGTCTCACTTTCCTGCACCTACATGTACCTCATGTCCTTCTGTCACTCATCCTCGTATCACCACACCTCCCTTCCATTGTCTGTTCTCCCTTAATCAGCTCGTCTCACGTTTCCCTGGTGATTTCTCATCACAGAAAACGGACCGTCTTCTCCAGAGTGACGCCCAAGCCCCCGATTTGGACATCAGGGGATTCCTCACTGTAAACGACTTGCCACCAACCTTCGAGAGACACTCTATGACGGTAAGATTCATTTTAGTTTTCTTTTTCGCACATGAGAAACAAAATTTAAAAAATTATATCGCACAGAAAATGCAAGGACAATTTTAATGTTTACCATTTTTACATGCGTCATAAAAATTAGCACATTCCCCCGCCACTACCTCACAATAAATGAGGCGAAAAAACACTGATTGCTTTTATTTTTAAAAAACCCTGCCCCGTGAGCCAATCTAAAATTAATCTGTTTCTAAATTTTTTCATTGGCATTTTTAATTATATATATTTACATAAAATTACCTACCATGAAAAATAAAGAGTTGACGAACATTTCTGGCAATCAGGGAAATTCATTTCCGAATTCTCCGTACCATATAAAACGCCTCTGTGTAGTGTGTACACTAAAGTGCTCTTGTGGACTTGAGCAAAGTTCAACGACCTATTTTTACGAGGCGCATATCTCACTAGTGATAAAACAGTGGGCGCTTATTTGATGTGTCACGTCATTTTATCCATCCCGGGGATTACCCTAAAAATTGTAATCTCATTAAATGTATTTTGTTTGGTGATGCTTTCATACGTTAGGTATTTATTGTGTTAAGGTATTTACTGGACATCACATTATCACTATTTTGGTTAAGGTCTATGCATATAGGCATCCAGTGATTGGTCTATATCTGGAGCCCCACTATAAAGATAAGACGGGGGTGGGGGAGTAGTTCCCTTTTATCTCTCTCTCTCTCTCTCTCCGGACCAAGCCACGCCCATATATAGAGCCATTTACCAGTCCGGGAACCCATATTAGTATACATTTTTGCCGGCTGGGTCTCGTGGTCAGAGGAAGTAAAGGGATTTGTTAATGATTGGTCAATATTGTTGCAATTCACTGAGATTTCCTAATATCCGTTTTAAAGACAAAAGTGATATCCTTGCCCCTAAGTTCCAATGACGAAGTTCCTATAAATATGCACGTTGATTACGATTTACTTGTGTTTTGAGGGCATAATTGCTATATATTATACATATGTATTTATATACACAGTTAACAACTAATTTGTTCATACCCCCACCATGTTTTGTCATTTTAAAGTATGTGAAATTTTATGCGTCCCGATTTATGTTAGTTTACACCCAAAAAACTTGATCTAAATGTATTCAGAAAAGACCCTTAATCAACCCATTTGATTCCCGAGTTACGAGAAACACACACTAAAAGAAAGGAAAATGTATAAAGGGTATGATCAATAAATCAGTTAGATTATATATATATATATATATATATATATATGTATATATATATATGTATCCCCTTACCGGAACCTACACACACACACACACACCTCCCTAATTCTCTAATTATCATAACAAATGATGTTCACCGTAGACGCATGACTATTCAACAAAACCATATGTATGATGTAATATTCATTTTAGTTCACTTTTAATCATATCCCTGTTTCGATTTGTACTGGGTTTCATTTTTTAAAGCCCCATAGTAAGCTCTATAGCTGTCTTTATATGCTTCTTTTTACCCAACTCTGCTTTCCGACTGCGTTTCTCGAATGCAACCGACGTTTTTTACAAAGAAAATTATGTCTTTTTATCAGTTTGACGGATGAACATTTCAGAATAACCGAAGTAATACTGAATGGTACCTTTAAAAACGAACGTTTCCAATACTTTGAGACTTCGGTGGTAACATCTAGAGAATTCGATTTCCAAGCCAAACGTAAAGCATTTTTTCACATGTCTTCTTGTACAAAAAACGGACACAAGTGGCATGACCGTGGCTTCCGCTGTGTCTGTGATTCCTGTATCACACCATCAAAATAATACTTCCTGTACAAGGTCTCAATGACACGATGAATCATTGGACAAAAGACAGAAGATACTTTCACAAATCAGAGAGATATCATCGTATTTGTAAGAGATGATAAATGTGCATTGACGTTGATTTTAGTCATTCTCTGAAACGAAAAATAGATATGGAAGAGTGGCGAGGTGAAATATGCGAACTGATTTTTATTTTGGAATCGTTTCGATATTGCAAGCTAAATTGCATTTAAAGATGTTACAAACATAAGTTAATGCAAGTTATTTTCTTCTCTCCTATGATATGGTATAGATATTTCCTTTCAGTTGAATTTTTCGAAACTCTTTCAGGTCGTGTTTATTATTTCTATTTATATTGTACGATATTAAATTATAATATTTCTTCTTTCTTTCTCCTCGCCACCAAACAGGAAGCAGAACTGTTGCCCAAGCACAAAATGTTCCTACAGACTTACGATGAAGTCATGAAGTCCCTCAAAACTGAGGAGGTCCTTGCAGTCAGTACCCATCCCGAGTCCTACAGCAATAACTTTACCCCATCCTATGACGAAGCCCTAGTGCACATCCGAAGGCTGCTTTACAAAGTCTCTGAACTGGTAAGTCCTGATCATCGTGTCAGAATATTCAATCACTTTGTTGGGGTGGGGGTAAAGATACATGTACGTTAAGGTACTATGATTAAATGTGAATAATGTATATTCTAATTCCTTGATATAAAGTGAAATTCCCTTTTTATATCTTTTGATTTTGGGGATGAGAATAAATTCTTCAAAAGTTCTATGCTTTTAAAAAACATTGCTCTTTTTGCCGTTGATTTTTACGGTAGTTGTGCCAAGAACACGCCTTTTACCTCCAAGATTGCAGACGAATTACAACTTCAATGAATGACCGCAATTTCTTTTTTCACTAGAAAAATTGATATTTGAATATACCCACTTCGTGTAATTACATGAATAGTAATTCTGAGACGCTCTCTTCCAAGTATACTTTATTGTTGTAGATGATACAAACGTTTTAAACAAATACACCAACACGAGTTCTTAATTACCTTGTTATATCATGATGAAGACAACAACAACAAATTGTCCATGATGTTAAGAAGATTCAGCCCACTTGCAATTCGCGGTTATATCTTCCACAGCTTTTTTCACACACAAAGATCTCACATTTTCTGTATCTCTTCATTTACTTTTCCTATAGATGACACTGCAGAACATTGCTGATGGTCCTTCTCAGACCTTCGACGGCTTTCAAGCGTTGCCCCACAACTACCAGATCCACAATACACGGAGCCTATACGTCCTCCAGAGCATCGACGAGTACATATCTGCTTCCCTCATTGACTACCACCGCCTACTTTCTCAATCCCAATCATGAAGATTCTCCTATTCCTTAAAATTCAACTAATTTATTACTATCGTTATTGTATTCCATCCATCAATGGTTTTCTTCATGCCTTTCATGGTACTAATAATGTATTTATTTATTGCGAGTTATAAGAAAGTAAATGATGAGATGAGGAGAGACGAGAGGGGATGGAGACAAAAATACAAAAGTGTTTTGACAAGAAGTTTGTCTTCGATGCACCAACCAACAATTAAATAATGTTGGACAATCATTGTGAGCAGTTATGATATCGATATTCTGTGCCTTTTTACATGTACTTTATTTCTGTAAGGTGATTAAGTGACCGCAAAGTACATCGAATTCATGAGTTTGAAACTGTTAAGCGCCATATTTATACAGATGTTTGAAACAAAACTACAATTTTTTTTTTTTTTTTTAGTTTGTAACCGTTTCTTCGAAAAATATTCCAATCAATTTGAGAATCTCTTATTTTTCTCAGTGTTTGCAAGCCGTGTCCGAGTGCTTGGGAATGTGTTCACTGCACCGAACTAGGTATATTATGTTTATGTACTTTTCTTACGATTTTTTTTATGGAAACTAGCAATAAAATTGTGTTCGATATGCATTTACATTCACAATCACTCTAACTTGAAATGTGCCTTATAAGCAAATCATGATCGAAGATGTATCAGTCTCTGTGAAAGGTCGATCCTGATTGGTTGATTCAGAATTGAGTTTGATCGAATGTCATTTGTGCAATAATGTGTTGTCTGTAAACTTAATGCATACAGTCGATGTGCATGGAAGTATGTCACTGTGTGACGCAATGTACATCATTAGCACGTTCGCATTCGAAATATAATGATTGAATTGTCTCTTGTTATATAATACTAGCCCTGCTGAACGTGTTTTTCTTTATATTTTGTTGTTATGTTTTCTCTCAGATTGGATTTTTCGAAGCTTAAACTCTTTTTACACGTTATGTAGTGAGAGTTTGCCTAGTACTGTACCTATAAGGTCACATTTTATGGTTGTTGATGGGTATAAGTAATCATAATCAAATAATGAATAGATAATGAAGTGATACGAATACTTTACTTGGTATTGCTCTTGTTATTCAGATGCATTCAATTGTGCTTTCCTTCACAAAATTATGGACGTTTAAAATATTTAAACTGTTTATAGTATTCAGTACTATTATGTATTTACCTATTTACTCTCATGAAAGTGATTTATATTTATTGCGAATTCAGCATCTATTTATATATTTATTAATCTATGTATTTATCAAATTGATATGAATGTATGGTTGTGTGAGGGTAATTCCAAGACTATTTTAGAGTTTCTATGAAATTATTTATTGTAAAAATGAATGAAAACATTACATTGATTAATACAACGTGATTTTATCTGTCGAGAACTGTTACAATTCTCATGTGACTAGTCACTGATCTTCTTCCATAATAGTTCAGTGAAAAATGATGTGCCTATTTATTTAACCTTGCCATTTCTTGTTAGTATGACGGAACATTATGAATTAAATGTCTGAAAGTCATTTTAGTTTCATTGCCTGTTTTTTCCCTAAGTTCCTTTCACACAATTTTAAAGGCCAAATTTCACCGCGTGATACCCAATCATGATAAAGCAATTTGATGCATGTATACCCTTGGTATGAAAGCTGAATGAAAGAATGACTGATTAATTCAATTGTTATAAAGTTGCTTGTAGGTGGAGTTGAGTGAGTGTGGATGAACACGTGTGTCCATAGTATAGAGTCTATACCCCCTCTTGTACTGTATTTATTTTTCGTCATTTAAAAATACATCAACATATATATATATATATATATTTACAACCATAAAGACACACTTATAAAAAGGAAGACGGAGGGATGGCCCTACTTAGCGTTGTTAGCATAACAATGCTGGTTTACAGAGGGGTCCCTATAGACATAGAAAACATGAAAATAGATATTACAAAAGTAATGAAAACTTACAGCAAAATAATAGAGCAATTTGATGTATGAATACCCTTGATATGACAGCTGAATAAAAGGATGACTGATTAATTAAATTGTTATAAAGTTGCTTGTAGGTGGAGTTGAGTGAGTGTGGATGAACACGTGTGTCCATAGTATAGAGTCTATACCCCCTCTTGAATTTGCCCTTTCCTATAAATAAAACTCAGTTATGCATTTTCATACAAAATCAGTTCTGGATTCTACTCCATTTATCCTTTCGTCGTCTCTCCGTTTTCTCTTCCCCTCTGATTGTGTTCTCCCACATTCCCTCTTATCTGCCTCTCTCAGTCACTGTCTCTATCACAATAGTCTTTATAAACTGTCTTTCCATTCCTCTGTACATCTGTCTGCCTGTCTAAACCTTTCCCTCATTCCCTTTAATTCATGCTTGCTGGTGTTTCGATGACTCAGGGCGAAACAAACAGGGGGAACATAATTAGGTTCCATATAGATGCTTTACGTTAAACGTATGCAAGACACTGATATAATAATGGATTTTTGTATAATTTACATTTTCCAAAAAATTCCGGAAATCGAAAGATAAAACTCATAAAAAGCATAACTTTAAATAACACTAATTCACTTACGGATGAGAGGTGGGTGTGGGGCAAGTGCTCTGGCAAAACACACAATCTGGCATAAACACATTAAACACAGAGTGTTTTTTTTAATCACTATTACTTGACAATTGTAATAGTGGCATTTAGCATAGTATCATGAACAGCACATAGTGAAGCTCTTGGCGTTGTAATATCGCCATAGTTTTTATAATATTCACCTCTGCCATGACAGCATTCAAAACATTTAAGGTATTTCTATTTTACCAAATATTCATTTTCTACATCGAGATAGCAGAGAGCCAGGATCGAGAGAAGTAGTAGTTTGTAAATGCATGAAAACGATAATATCCAGCGGGCGGATTTAAATTGTTTACAAAAACACACTAATGTGCCCCCAAAATAAATCACAATAGCTCTATTCGCATGTGTTTTAACTTGTCTTGGAAAGAGTTATTATGCCCTCTCTCCCTCACATATGTTCTTTTTAAATTCTGTTGGAATCATTTAGCACAAAGCAGTCACATTACTCATGAAATTACAAAGTACAGTCCAATATACATGTTTATTAAAAAGTGCAGAACACATGGTGTGCAACTACATATCAAGGGACCGTTTAGAAGGGGAAACCAGATCCAATTACGGTCTCTGGAGTTGAAGACTTCTTTCCTTCCTTAGGTTCCTTTCGAAGATCATTATCTCTTTGCCATTAAAACGACAATGGTGCTCAAACTGTCACTATTGCCTAACATTAACACTACCTTTTCAATCATTTCCATGTGATTGGCACCATAATCTGATGAAATAATATAATATAATAAACAAGCGTGAATTAAGGTTGAAGCTGATGATTTGCCCCGAAAAATGACAGAAAATTTGGAGAAAGTCAAATCAATGAGACATATGAAAGACACGAATGGAAGAAGAAACGGATCATGATGTCAAAATGGATGAATGGTTTGGGCGAATTAAGGAAAATGGGAGGGCTTACACAAATTATATAAGACGGTGGTTGAACATCATACAGATAACGTGACTGAGAACACGCAAAACCAATAGCACAATAGAAAGACGGTCCGCAAGACCGAGAACCCAATAGCCCGACAGTCGCGGTAATGGAAAATTGATAGAACAGAGAGAAAGAATCCCAAAGCGTATTTGGTCTTAAATGGAAGTCTGCCAAACTGAAACCTTGAGTATGGTGAGGTAATGTGACAGATAGAAAGAGAGATAGACCACAGGGGCTATCTTAGGCCGTCCTGATTAGGGGGTGGGTCGGCCAAAATTGTACGATAAAGAAGATGATTATTTTCAAGTACGCAATAATTAATAAAGAGATTACTTTGTGCATTTTTAATCTCACCAAGCAAAACATTAAATTGTACATCCAGTTACGCAATTTGCCGACAGCCTATTAAAAAGGCGAATTGGCCGACACAACAGACTAGTTCTTCATTGGCTTTGGTACAAATGACCCCAACATATTTACAGATCTTTTAGACATTTTAAACGTCTCACTTAGAACCACTACCAATGTGATGAATGTGCTTTAGGAATACATTTTGTTTGTCCTTTTGAGTGTTCCGTAGTATCTACCGTCAGTGCGTAAATTTCCAGCATTCGTCTAGGTGGGATTGTATCTATTACGAACCTTTTTTTTTATTGGGGGAGGGGTCACATCCCACTTCCCCTCTTTACCCTCTCTCCTACTCTCTCTCTCTCTCTCTCTCTCTCTATTTCTAGCGACGTACCAGATAAGTGCAAAGATACAAAGCGAGAGCATCTCAACACGCACTAGATTCCGGACAGAGGAAAGTAAATTTCCGATAAGTTTTCCACAGGGCTACCCTTGGATCCGGTATGCAACAAGCAATGACGAGACAGAAAAGAAACTTCCACTAACAGTAAAGAGGAAAACCGCAATGCTGGCCGTGGCAATGGATCTGATACTAATGAATTTCCAATGTGAGATATTCTAGGGGGAAAGAGTAAGTAGTGGGCAACTAGGTTTTTTCCCCTCCCCCACAAACGATTTGATTAAACGCAGAAGGAAAACGAAAGAATACTTAATATACAACTTTCAATTGTTCCGAAATCAAATCAGAAGATTCATTTATCAGTAATAATGATATTCAATTCAATGCTAGAGCTTTAAGATAAAGTTGAGTTCTGGGAGGTGTTTCATAAAACAATTCGTCGCTGTTTTCACGAAGTGACGGTAGTGAAAAATAATTGCATTCACTTTGCGTTACGATTGTCCTCACTACCGTCACTTCGTGAAAACAAGGACGAATTAGTCGGTGGTTCTCACCGACTGATATCATTTTCACCGACAATTGTATTGTCACCGACTATTTTACAGGCCTCTGATTGGTCAAATGTAGTCAGCGCTGACAGTTGTCGGCGGACAAATGTTGAAGAAACGCCCCCCTGGTCATTCGATTGCATCGTGAAAAAACGGTGTGGAATGGATCAGAAAAAGTTGATCATATAGCATATAGGTATTGGTGTGTACTGCAAGGTTCTAGAGTCAACAAAATGATAAAGAAAGAGGTATATGGGACTACACAAACAGGTGGCATACGAAACGGGCCCTATTTGTAAGCAGTTACTTGTCATATTTACAATACGAAGGTATTTGAAGTGCCATGCTTTTCAGTGAACATTTTCCTTGGATGTTCTTTCACACTTCCATAATAACATTGATAACGCTCACAAATTACTTTTCACCTCTCATCAAAACTCGATCTGCTCTTTAAGTTAAATGTCCACTGTAAGTCCAGATACTCTGTCAATTACACCCAATGTATTGAGCCTAAGCACTCAAAAGAGTTCCACCCTGACAAATACCACTTTAATGAGTATCAACAATACAATCAATAAGATGATTAGATGATTTGGTCTGATTACAACTCTAGAAGGGATATTAACTTAATAACAGAATGATCATATCTAATTCTTAAATGATCATACTTAAATGTTAAATGTTTAATTGTTAAATGTGGTTTGTGGTGTTTGGGACGAAATAGCTCGGAGTTGCCCACCACCAACATTTCCCTTGACATTTTTTAAAGATTCTCATACCAACATCAGCAATAAACTATAGCAAGTATAGACCAGTATGCCCCTTTTCCCCCTTCAATTTCATCTTGTGCATTTGCGCTCATGTCGAACCATAATATTGGTCAAAAACTTGCTGCAATTGTACACGTCAGATTAAAAACATTGCAGTAATATCTTAATCCCGGCCCTCGATCTCAATTTTGTTCTGGTACAACGCCAAGTCACTGATTTACTTTGGTTTTAAAACAAATCTGAATCTCAATGCCATTCGGGCCTAAAAAAAAATCAACTTATCGGTGAAATATTAATGGAGCACTTGCTTCATCTTTGGTTCTATTTAAAATTCAAAATCTTCAAAAGAAACAATTCTCACGCAAAAAGGTCGCAAAAGTAGTCATACCCAAACCACACCAACGAGTACGACACCAGATCGACAAGAGCCCGGACAGAAAATAACATTTCCCCCGAATGGAAACGTATCTGTCTATGTTTAATCGGTGTGTAGTCGGTTTAGCAGTGTGACTGAGGCACTGGCTTTGTACTGGGTCAAGTACCAGCATGGGAAAATGGATCAAAAGGTGAGATTTGAAATGCAGATGTAATTCCTTTCGGTTATCTCTTTTTGTGACTTACTTCTCAAGCCACATGCATGTATATCTGGGGCAGGTGGTGTAGTGCGAGTCTAACCGTCGGGAAGGCACTGGAACTATATGGGTTCACAGGACTCACACTGAAAATGAAATGCGAATTTACGAGGGAGGGTTGCGGGGTGGTCCAAGTGTCTTCTTGTCTCTTCGTTTTCACCCCTCCCCCTTACTTTTCCCCCTTTTTGTTCATCCTTTGAAGACAAAAAAAATCACCTTTTGATGAGGGGCAGGGTACAGGGGCAGACCCCCCCCCCCTGTATAGCTACGC